CGTTGCTGACGAGCAAAACGAGAGAATTCTCAGTTAATAAGAATGTTTGTTTGATAAATACTGTTACAAGGAGATAGATGTTTTCGCCATTTTTCTCGAGAAATAGAAATAGAGGTAATAATGGTAATAAGAGAATTAGAGAACAGATGTGTAAAGTGTAATAAAGAAGTAGAGAATGATAAAGGAAAAAGAGATAGAAAAATCCCGCTTGGTAGCAAGTCGGCGACGTGCGCGTGCAAGTCCGATCGTGAACGGCGAGAGTCATTTCTTTTGGCGCGCGGAAGTCCGATTGTAGACGGCGAGAGTCATTGTTTTGGGCGCGCAGAACTTGTTGCTGGGCGCGCACAAACACATAATCGATTTCGACTAACAACATGGCATCGATGCTAGATGGCTAGATTACGATACATGTAAATGTATGCGTATGCTAGATGGCTAGATTGCGATACATGTATATGTATGTGTATGCGTATGTATAAAAACTCTATATGACTCTATATGAGTTTATTTTTTTGAAATCGATATGTATCGGGTCGGTAATTGAGCATGACTTGCTGTGCGGTGTAGCTTGATTACTGTTTAGGGAAGCCGCGTAAATTTGTATGGGCCCCGTGCGTGTGCGTGATCAACCCGAGCTCCCATAGATCTTTTCAGCAGTGCTGGGGATCGCAACGGAAAGTGGTGTGCGCGTGCGGATAGCTCTGCAGGGGTGCGTTCAGAAATTCAACTCGTTGGGTAGAGTAAGGTTATTGGGGGTAACACCAATAACTCATCTGGGGTAGTATCGAGTTGAACGACTTTCCGACCGTATTGAGTGAAGTAATAAAAATGGCGACGCAGAGGGTCCGACAAAACCGTATACTGATTTCTGCAGCAATAGCTAGTCAAAAGCTATTTGAAATATTGATGAGAACTATAAATGAAATAGAAAACGAAAGTGAAGGTGATGATAATTTTGAGGAAGAATTTTTAATTGAAAGTATGCGACGAATCCGAGGAAAACAGCAAAAACTTGTGCGTATAGAAGGTTATGTTGAAAACGTAATTTCTCGTTACACTTCTCGACAATTTCGGCATCATTTTCGGATGCTTCCTGAAGTTTTCGAAATATTGGAAAATCGACTAGGACAATTATTAACCAATGAAACTCGTGGACGTCCAATGATATCTGTACGCGTACAACTTTTATCAACAATTTGGCTTCTGGCTTTTTGTAAGCTGATTTGAATCTGCAACTTGTGGCTCTGAATTAGACGTAAGCATTGAAGAAGTTGTGGAGGATTCGGATGCAGATATAGATATAACATTAAGTAACTTGAGGTTTTCTTCTGTAGTTTTACAAGCATAGATTAACCCATCTGTAATAAATTAAAATATTATAATATAGGTTATAAAATATATTCAAGATATAATGTGCTATATGATATAATTATATGTGTAATAATCTTACAAAAATATACTTATATTAAATTCTAAATTATATGTTACTTTCTATCCAAATACTAAAAAGTTATTGAATACAGTAAAATGAAAAACATAACCCAATATTCAGAACTATTGAAAAATAGAAGTATCTGTGCTTACCGTGTCGATCAATTATTAACATTATATTATCTTGAATGATGAATTCACCATTTTCTGAGCAATAAGGGACATAACGCCCAGATATCAGATTATTAATTATAGTGGTCTCGGTCTGATCCATTTTCTTCGCTTCGTTATTGGCGCCAAAATAGTGGGAGTTACTCTGTTACCCCTGAAAATTTAGAGGTTAAAAAGACGACCTCGAGGTGTATTCAAATAACCCTACTCAGCATTTCCGAACGCAACTAGCGAGTTCATTTTATCTTACCCGAGTTATTTTCCGAACGGCGTTGGGTTAACTTCTTTACCCAGAGTTGGATTTCTGAACGCACCCCAGAGGCGCGTGGTTTTCTCGCTTTGGGGTTATTGTGAATTGCAGTGCGTTCTATATAGCCTCATAAGCATTAAATTTTTATCGCTGAAAGAGATCTAGTGATAGAAATTGTAAATTATTATTTGTCAATACGAATGTTGGTTTATCTTGTCAAAAGAGGAATGCTAATGTTCAATTGATATTTAAATCCCGATATAGATGGAAGAAGAAGGCCAAGATGCGCTGGTCGACTACGACAGCGATAGCAGCTTTATCACGGTAATAGATAGAGAAGCAAAAGATAAAAACGAGGAGACAGTAAGAAAAGATAGAGGTAAGAGAGTATTTTTTGAAAATAAAGTAGTCCAGAAGAATAATACATATATGCATTCAGAGAAAATAAAAATAGTAATTTCAAAATTCCGTATAGAAGCAAAAGATAAAAAGAAGATGGAAAGAAGAGGTGCAATCCCGAAAAAGAACTTGCCTAAAGTCAGAGAGAATATAGATGTGACCAAAGCATGGGAAGAGAACCGTCCAGTACTGCCAATTGGAACCAAAATATTATATGAAAAGCAAGAAAAATTGGTCGCAAAAATGGACAATTCGATGCAGATGCTGGATAAAGTAATGACGAAGGCCACCGAGATGATGGAGAATATGGTGGAAGTCTCCCGTTTAAACTTAGAGAAAGAAAAAGTTAAACTTAGACGTTTAGAGGTAAGCAATAAAGATACCCAAAGTTCAGTAGAAAACAGTAAACAAACGGTTAAAGAATTAGAGGTAAAGTCTAAAAAGAGAAAATTAAATGAAATAACAGTCTGTTCAGCCGAAAAAGATAGAAGTTTAGAGACAATGAAAAGAGCTATAGAATTGGAATTGAACAGTCAAAGGTTGCATATTAGAAGAGAATATAAGCTGACGCAAAAATCCAACTTTGATCTTTGGATGGATTATTTAAAATCTGAGTTAATGAATAAATGAATAACGAGTTGTTAGATGTAATAGATTCAAACATTGAAAGTCCACAAAATTTCTCCGAACTAAAAGTTGCTAAGAGAAAAAGTCTAGTTAGAGATATAATAATCAATCATTTAGATGAAAACTATCATAAAAGGATTCTACATGAAAAAGATCCAAAAGAAATTTTGAAGAAATTGAGAGGATATAAAAAGATATGAAGTAAACGTTACTCATGCATCGGTACGAGCTAAACTCTATCAAATTAAAATGAGAAAAGACGAAAAAGTAAGTGATTTTTGTGAACGCTTCGATTCAATAATTAGAGAATATGAATCATGTGAAGATGCGGTACCCCTCGCAGAACAAGAGATTAGATCTGCACTTTATCAGGCTGTGTCAATTAATGTACCAGAGCTGAGGAATGTAGATTTAATTAGAAGACAAACTAATCTTAAAGAAATGAACATAGATGAAATAAAGTCTTTTATGATGCAGTTAGAAGCAGAGACTAAAAACGAGAATAGAGAAAAATTAGAGAAACCCGAAGTCAGGGTACAGAGGGCTGCTGCAGAAGAGAACATGAAACAAGTGAAGTGCTACAGATGCAACCGAATGGGTCATATGGCGAAGGACTGTCCACTAATAGAATCTGGTTTTGTTACTACTGCCAGGAGATACGAGGTCACAAGGGTGATAATTGTCCGAGTGCCGAAGCCCAGGCGAACAGAGCTAGAGGAAAAAGGTATTTAAATAAAACCGTTAATAAAAACATAAAGAAAAAGGGTAGATTTGTGCAAAAAGGCACAAAAAGAGTAGATAACAGAGGGAAAATAACCAAGATACAACCAGCTGAGAAACCTATATCAACGAAAACAGCAAATGAAGGAGAATCAGAAGAAGGTAAATAATACATGGTTAAATTAATAGAAGATAGAGATAGTTCAAAAGAGGTAGTCAATTTTACTGCAGATTCGGGTGCTACGGATCATATTGTGAATAAGAATTTTATTCTGTCAAAGTTTGAAAATTGTAAAGATAGAGTTATTAAATGCGCGAATAAAAATGAGCTTGCAAACATTTCAATAGATGGTAAAGGAGATCTTTTGCTAATAACGAATGAAAAAGAAAAGAGAGTCATTAAATTAACAAATGTAATTACAGCAAAGAAAGTATCCAAAAATTTACTATATCTAAGAAAGTTGGCTGATGCAGGGTTCAGTATTTATTTAGATGATAAAGTGTTTAAAGTTTACAATAAACTGACAAATAAAATAGTTTTTAAAGGAATTTACAGATGTAGAGCAGAAATTGTTCCACATAGTGAGCTTCCTGAACAATCGCAAGCAAACATTCAGACCAATGAATTATCAATTTCGGAGGGAGAGTTAGATGAGAGGGATAATGTTGGCTCTGCGATTGGGAAGGAGAATGAAGGAGAGCTCACAAATGTGAACGAAAACAAAAATATAGAACACAACAATGCTGAACTCGAGCAAGTCATTAAGTTGGAGGATATACAGACAATAGGGAATATAGAAGAAATGTGTGAAAGCTCAGTAATTGAAAAAGTAAAGAAACTAGAGAAAATAAATGAGGTGATGTTATGGCATGTTAGATTAGGTCATGCATCGTTAAACTATCTAAAACAATTACAAAAAGTAGAAAAGAGATTAGAGAATGTAAAGTTTGATAACTCCATATTAGAGTGTGAAGTATGTATAATGGCAAAGATGGCAAAACTGCCGTTTAAAGAAAACAGAAATAGAGCACAGAGACCATTACAGATAATACATACGGACATCATGGCTCCAATAAAACCTACATCCTATCCAGGACAAAAGAGGTTTATAATCACTTTTATAGATGACTATTCTAGATTAGCAAAGCCTACTCTCTGAAGACAAAAGATGAATCGGGAGAGGCTCTAGAGAAATATCTTATATCCGCCAGAAATCTACTAGGAAAAAAAGAAAAAGCTATGCTATTCAAAGTTAGATCAAAACAAAAAATTTACGGGAGGTGCTTTTAAAGAGGTATTAAAAAGAGAAAAGATAAAAGCCATATTTGCATCACCGTACACTCCAGAACATAATGAAGTTGCAGAAAGGTTCAACAGAACGTTGAAAGAGAAAGTAAGAACATGTGGAGTATGTGGGAGTTAGCAGTTGACGCTGCTGTGCATGCGTACAACAGATCTCCACATAAGACTTTAGAGTACGAGATCCCGTTGAAGAAGTTTTCATCAGAAACAAGTTGTCATTTTGAACAAATAAAGAAATTCGGATGCATTGGATATGCAAGAGTACCAAAGCCTACGTCGAAATTCGACAAGACAGCTATTGGTGTGTTGGTGGGATATACTGACACTGGTGTCACGTCTGACGGTATAATCACCGCTATATTCCAACTGCATAAATTTTTTCGATTTCCATCCATATTGCACAGCACCTGAAAACCTGAATATAACCTGAATATAAGAATAAATAATCACACCTTAACTTAACTGTCATAACAATCACTCAGCTGATGCGAGCACGCGTTCTTAAAGTAGTAGACACAAGCCTAGAGAACATGGCTGCTTTAAGGCACGGTCGTATACACAGGTCTGGAAACGAAGGTGGTGGGGATGGTTCGCTTAGCGTGTGAGAATTTATTTGGCTTGTGGCCACAAGGGCTGCGCTGCGTGTTATGGTCCTGGTTCGCATAGCGCAAGCGCCCTGCGCATCGGCCATTAGAGCAGAAGTGTCCACTTTAAGAACCGATTTTAACCAACGATTAAGACGAGCTTTATTTTCGTCTTCCATTAGCGCGTACGTCTGTGGGGTCGCGCCTATTATTTTTGTACCTCCGCATTTACATTATAATGAATTATACATTACTATACTTTGTTCAAAATGGCTAGAGACTTTTTAACATCCTGGAAAGTGTACCGTGCTGAACAAATAATTCAAGAGAAGTCTCAAATGGTTGTAAATTCAGTTGCTCAATAAAATGCAACGTGATTTATGCAATATTTATTTCATATTATTTTCCATATATGCTTACTAAATAAGATAAAAGAAAAAATATTGTAATTACCTATAAGAAAATTTACGCAATCTCATACGCAAGAATTAAAAAATACGCCATATATGTTTTATAGATTTATTGAATAAAATTTATATAATATATTAAATGCATTTATTTTGAAGAACAACGTGAAAGAGTTTCAAAGAACTAGTTAATATAGAATTTTATATTTTAAAGTTTAGGATTTGAAGATTAAATAATGCGATATATCAAAAGCATATAAGAATATATACGTTAGGAAAAGCATTCTAACATACACAACACAAATATATTCTTTATATATATTCTCTATCAACCAGTTTAGAAGAAAATCTCAATTTCTGTAAATGCTCTAGATAACTCTAGTGATTAATAGATATATCAATCAACCATAGTTTTTAAAGATAAACATAGCAGCGCTCTGTGCTCTTTATGCAATTATAGTTTAATAAACTTGGAAAAATAATATAATATGCATATGTATGTGAATTCATAATTAATTCTGGAAAAGAGTACGCGTAAATTCTATATAATCCAACGCAGCTGTTATCGGTCGTTCCGACTTGGGATCTACATAAGGTTTCATACGGGCAACGCAATAATCGGCTATCTCCTTTGTGAGGTTCTGAAAAAGAAAAAAAAACGATTAACGAATATAAATTGAATTCTTCGTGATTGTAGGAACATTGTAACTTATATTTCTGAATATTCAATAGTATTTGCAATACTTACAGCATATAATTCCTCCTTTGTGACGTACGGCCGATCTGCTGCAGTGATTGCTCGGAAAGCGTTCTCTATTTCCTCCGAGTTCTGCACGTTCTCCGTTTCCTTGCTGATCATAAACGCCATGTATTCTTGCAGCGATACATAGCTGTCTCTATTAGGATCCACGATGTCTGCGAATAATAATATCGTGTTAAAAATAAATGGTTCGAAATAATGTAACCGGAAATAACACAAGAATTAAAATCAACAAAACCTAATATGTTCTCAAATTCCGGATCGGGCTGTCCTTCTTCCATCATAGGAAAGTCATAGCCCAAAGCTCTCAGGCACGATTTAAATTCTTGATGATTCAGACGGCCACTCTTGTCCTTGTCAAAGTGCTTGAACATCATGGAGAATTCCTTTAGTGCGTCTTCAGATACACCGGACTGGTTTCGCGCTTGAATCTGCTGTTCTAAATTGTGTTGCATGCGCATTCCTAACTGATCCAACTGATCCCATTGTTGTGCCAATTCTACGGTACTGTGTTCTGTGTAATTGTACGAAAGAAGGCTCCTTCTCATTGCAAGATTCGTCGACCGTTGTATTCATCGAGGGCTCGTCCAAAGAGAAATAATTATGCTCTGCACTGATGCAATTGAACAATCCCTAGCAGTGGCGATATTTTCCACCTTTCTCTGACAGTCAAATTTTGAAGGAACAGCCAACGGATGGAGTCGAGTGCGCATGTAAGGAGCCTTCAATAAACATGCAATGAAGTAACAAGATCATTTGAAAGTTAACCCAGCAAGAACGAATCAAAATATTTACTTATGTAAATAGTCACGCAAGTCAAACTTGTATATATAATTATAATATAATTAAAACAGAAAAAATGTAATCATCATTAAACTTACTTCGGCGATAATCCGATCATTATCGTATTTCACCCATTTCCTGAGGATGTGATGTTCTTCGAAATGCTTCTCGCAAACGAAATGCGACGGCTTCAGATCAACAATGCCCGGAATCGCAGCAATCCGTTTTCTACATTGTTCGATATTTGACGGCACTTTAAACAACGAACACTTTTTTGCTGAATAATTTCGCAATTTGCACATTGGCACCGCGCCCGATTTAGTCATTATATCGCACAGTATCACACAATCGCACGTGGTATTAATCATATTAATATCAGTTACGCGGGGTGGGAATGGCCGTGTAACAGGAATCCGTGAGCGCGCAAGTGAAGGGTGCCCGCCGTGTCTGGGAGGCCGACCGCCGACCGCCGTCGCTGATCTACGCGATCTGCGTTGCTAACGCACGCATGCACGCACACACACACACACACTCGAGTTAGCTCGTTCGCCCAGATGCTTGGCCGGCACGTTCCCGTCCCACGTTTATTATTTCACGCGGCGTATACGTGCCAGCGGACAACGCGACGACGTAGCCGATGTACGTGGAGGCGGCGCGCACGGAAGGAGCACGGTTAAACGCGGCCAACACGCACGATCCGCCGAACAACAGAACCGACGAGGAGTGGAGCTTTCCGCGCTTCTTCGACGATGGCCCTGGCTTTACCAGGCTTTACTAGCAGGAGCGAGGAGCGAGCAGGTTAGGTTAGGTTATTCACGCGCTTCATTTTAACCAGGTACCATAACCAAAAGCGACGCGTAGTGGCGGCCAGAGACATAAAATTTGCAACTCTAAGCGGACTAACCCCACCACTGAAATTTGACTTGGTTTCCAGACCTGTATATACGACCGTGCTTTAAGGTACCCTTTCAAGTTTAAGCCCCATTTTCATGAATCACACTATAAACTTTTGGACAATTGCTTGTTAAAATTCCCCAGCATCACTACAATTGATCGTAAATGGATATTACAGGCTTTATGAAAACCTTTATGCAATATAAATTCAGTTTAACACACGAATAAATACATGTTCCATAAGAATGAATTAAGGATATTAAAATAAAATATAAATAAATAAATTAAAAACAGATTATTCATAAAAACATAACCTTTTGTGCCTGAAGAACATTATCATACTAAAATAATAATTATCTCATTAGCATTTTTTCAAACATGATTGTTATAAACAATTAAATTATATTATTAACAGACCTAGCTAGTGTGACTACCGGAACTATCACAAAAAGTCAAACAACTTTTGGTTATAAACCATTATTGTATCTCTCAAAATAAACTAATTAACAATAAAATTTATCATAAAAAATATTATTAAAAATGATAAATAAAATCACTGCAAACTCTCAGCAGAACATGTCAAGTAACCTCACAAAAACCCCCACATCATATCTCTTCTTAATTCCGAGATATAATTAAAAATTATGGAAATCCATAAAACACAGAAATTTTAAACAACCTAAAATAATGCCCTTAATTATCTGACAACAAAAAAAACCCCATCTTTTTATCTCTTACCGTTCTCGAGTTATAAATTATTAAAGTTTCACGTCCGCCATTTTGAATTTCCTACCCTTTAGACTTACAAAGACCAAATCACTTTTACATTAATATTTTAGTTTTTTATACATTTTAAGACCGAAAAATTTCATTTCTGAACAAAAATTTTAACACTTAATTATTATGATAAAAATGGAATCTCTCCTACTCCTAAACACCAGTAACGTTAACGCCGATTTTCTATTTAAATTAATTAAACTAATAAACGGGATTGAAATTGAACATTCACTCCATGAAAGACGAGGATAGTTTAATACCAGTTCACAAAGTGTAAGACAAGGATAGCCATAATAAATTCTTAATAAATTAAAATAAAAACGAATAGTTTGAAATGAGAACAATATAAACGTGTATAAGGAATAATCACTAGAACCGATCAATAGAAAAACATTTACTATATAATTATTCAAAATTGTAACTTACTTTTATAAACAATCATAAACAAATTACTGACCATGTCAATAAATATTTTTAACTTATACCTCAGATCGTATATAACAACTTTTATACAAGTCAAAATTTCGTTACTCCATTAATGAAAGCTACATGAAAATCCAAAGGAAAAACCACCCGGTATAAAATATATGTCCTCAAAAGTTACCAATAACATAGTATTGCATATTCGTATTTGGTTAATTTAAAGGACATCGGAATTCAGATTCTAATATCCAGTAAACGACAACGATTAAAAATCCCCTTTTATATACCCTGAAAACATAAACCTTTTCCCCTAAAAATAATATAAAAAGCATAATTTTCACTAAACTCCTATACTTAATTAATCGTAAAAATACATACCTCTGTTTGTGCAACAACACTCTGAAATATATAATAACAAAAGCTCGTTCTGATACATATAAATTTCGACCGCACATATAAACCCCGTATCAGTATACCTACGAAAAATAATAATAACTTTTATTTCTGCAATTGTTTATTTACAAAATATTTATAATAATAAAATAAAGAGTGCTCATAAACGAGATGATATTAGAAATTCAAACCCTCTTAAATAAAAAGAACAACAATATCAATATGCGAATTAAAAAGTACCAATTTATTTAATTAATAATTTGTACATATATTAACAATGAAATTTTCTAATGTTATATTATACTTTAGTGAAAGTCCTACAATATATTTCCTATACACTCCTATCAAATTCCCAACCATTCGCGAGATATAAAAATAATAAAAATCTTATTATATATAAACAATTTAATTTCATTGATTTCCTGCACTAACGAGAATGCTAACCACTCCTACTTGCATGATACATTATTAACATGATATTAGAATCATTATTACCACTGCTAAAATCACTTTTATCAATATTATTATTATTAACAAAATATATATATACTTACTAAAATTAATATAAATCTCGAGCGTCAAACGCTGAAGCACCACTCACGAACCTGAGAAAGATAGAATTGTATATGCGTAGCATAAGGAACGCGAATCCGAGCGAGATGCGAGTATTGTACAATCTGAAAGAGAGAAAGAGAGAGTCAGATATACTATAGTAACTGTTAGACAAAGAGAGCAATATCTTTTATACTTTAGACATGCTAATAATGACTTTAATTGTATTATTGAATTATTCTATTGAATGTAAAGTATGTCTGAAGAAACTTAAATAATATTCAACAATATATTTGCACATTTTAAAACTAAAATATTACAGATTTCTTATATTTCTTTGTAATAAAAGTCATACCGAGATTTTATAATAAAAGAAGGTATCGCTCTCAATACAAATCGCTGTTAGACTAAAGAATGGAAATAGAATTCAGACGAGTCACCTGTATGACTCATTCGAGTGAATCTAGTCCTCGCGTAGACCATATATGGACATGTCGAAGCAGAGCGCAACGCATGACCATATAAGGTAATGAATTTCAAGATACCACCCTATGACTCATTGCTGGCAAGCGAGCCACACCACTAGAAGTAGACTCACATCCGCTAGACAACGTCTTGACTCATTGTAACGAGGTGCGGTCACCTCCCACTACCGTTTCCAAAATTGTATAAAAGCGGAATCTTTCACCCTCTCGACGGAGAGTGTGGAACGAGCCAGGAAAGGTCACATATCTTATATTTGTTCCATCCTCCCACATAAACCACTTGTATCGTAAAAGTTCTACAATAAATATCATACTCTTTTATATCAAAAGAAAGATAAAGATTATTGAATTACCTACCTTCGACGGATCCAAGGAGCCATAATCTACATCGCCGACCAACAGTTAATTATTCTGGGGTTTTACCTCCTTAACTGCAAGAAAAAGAACCCATCAACGGAGACGTTCTGCCGGATCGAGCCACCTCGCATCACCCAGGACGTCACACTGGATATATACTATATACTCTGGTATCCAAGCACGAGAAAATTTATAGAGTCACGACAACAGAGCAGCAAGAAACTGCACTAAGAAGGATAGAAGTCACAAACTTAAAATGTTTGATGACGACTTAGAGGAAATAAAGAAAAACTTAGAAGAAAAAGAAGAAACTGGAAACAGAAAACATATGGATGATACTCATGGAGATTTTATCAAGCAGTGTGTTGATTAAGGGAAGGTAAAAGTCGAATGGATTAAGACCAAAGAGAATTTGGCAGACATTATGACAAAACCTTTACCTCTAGAAGCATTTGTGTATCTGAGAGATAAAATAATGAATATAAAGTTTAAACAAAGTTAGAGATTAATTTTAGTCGATAACTAATTCTTGTTATGTTTCAGATAAAGAGGAAACTTAGAGAGGACCCGTGGATCGCTCGCACAAAGGGAGGGAGTGTTGGGAGAAGACTTTGAACGAGCAATAAGTTCCCGCCCTTCTAGAGGGCAGCTCCCGGTTGGCGGCGCGACTCGGCGCGCCACGCGTGCGTGCGGGCATCAGTGGTGCTCACAAGAGCCTCGATCACCGTCGTGTTCAGACGTGTTAATTACGGTTTAAGTTACAGAGTGTGATATACTTATATATAATAAAGACAGTATTCAGAGTGTACAAAGACCAAGATTGTTGTGTTCCCTGCTCATCTCACCACATTTTAAGTCGTCCCTGATTATATTTCCAATAAAAATATAAAGCAATAAATTAATATCTAAAATAGTTTATTTATAACTGTAATTGTATAATCACAAAATTATTACATACTAATTATTTCTTTTTTTCAACTGCTTGCCACCTCTTCTTTTCCTTTTATCTTCTTTTACTTCCTCGTTTTTTTCTTCATCCGGCTCATCCTTTTCTAAATTTTTCTTTTCTGTCTTTTTCTCTTCCTCTTTCTTTCTTTCCACATTATCCTTCTTCTCGTTTTCTTTGTGCTGCTTCTCACTTTTCGCGTTACCCATATTTTTTTTCTTTCTTTTATTGTTCTCTCTTATCTCGGTAAAAATTGGTTTAAATAATAATAATGTGCAGAATGAATTTGCACCTCAACCTCCTCATGATCGAGAATTGATTTATAAATACTGCATTCACACGCTCAAATTCCTTGAATTCCGCTGATTGGTTATCTCGCTTATATGCAGATCGAATCTCGAAATTATCATAAGAGTGAAATTGATATTAAATGATGTTGGTTAGTTATCTCAACGACTTGTCAATGCGTGTCAAAAAACGTTAAGTTTGTTTCACGTTTGACAGTGCGAAATTACAGAAAAAAAGTTCCAAGAAAGAATTTTTTAAAAGAGAGAGAGAGAGAGGGAGAGAGAGAGAGGGAGAGAGAGAGAGGGGGAAAGAGTGAGAGAACGGAAGGGAATACAAAAAGAGGTATATATTTCAAAAATATTCTACATATTATATTTATATGTATACATGTATGCATTATGTAAGTATGCATGTATGCACGTATATATTTAAAGGACTTTTCGATCCGGTTTAGCCCGCTCTGCTCACGAACAGTGCATATTACATGATACTAAAATATATTAAAATAAAATATATGTAAATGTATTTTAAGTATGCATGTATGTATATATATATTTAGTTTCAATTACAGATTACATACTTTTTCCTTAACATTATGAAAGACAAATAAGAGAAGAAGAAGGAAAGAGAGAAAAAAAGAAAGAAAGAGAGCGAGAGAGAGAGAGAGAGAGAGAGAGAGAAAGAGAGAAGTAACAAAAAAA